CAGGTAGCCGGGAGGGTTTACGAAGTTTACGACTTGGGCTCGAGTGTTCTTGCCCAGTGTTGCACAAGCAGATGGTTTCGGGGTTCTAGAATGAGGATGTTCAGCTTCCGCTTGGACATGCCAGATGCGGCTTCGGCAGAATCCATGGCCTTTTTGCCGCAGTGCGCTCGCTGTTGGCTTGGGTTTGGAGGCTTGGATGGTATGCTCTCAGTGCTGCTGCACGTAGACATGCGCGACAACGGCAGCGGCACCTATTGACATCGCTTGCTACGTGATCACCATGACGATGATAGTGATGGTGATGATTGCAGTCGGACGGGAAATTACCGTGGCTAGCACACACAGCAATTCTCATGACCGGGACTATTATGAATGACTATCTGCATGCGTACTGCAAGACTTGCTTTTCATGGTTCTCACGAATCAAAGGTGACCACTATTCGGCCCACGTTTCTTGTTTGTGACGCGCTTGTGAGATTGCTTGGCTAGGTCACCCTGATGCTGGCTGCTGCGAAGACCAAGCTGTGGCTGCTTCGCTAGCGGACACACTGATAGACTGTGACCCTCATTGCGATCACCATGTTCATACGATGGGCATGACTGTTGAGTTGCCGCGCGCACGAAATCCAAAACCGGTAACCCTGAACTAGATCCTGAGCCCTACTCCAAAGCAAAACCCAAGCGCCTGAACTGCGCCCTAAGACCTCAGCCCAAAAAGCCAAAAAACCCTTAGCCTTTAGATCGTCTGATATCTCCCCGCGCCTCCGGTGAAAGGCCGTAGTACCGGCAGAAGGCCTCGTGTCCACCTAAGAGCCGAAGGACCTCGGTTCAGGCTTTGGCTTTGGCGTTTAGGGTTTAGGGTTTAGGGGGTTTAGCCTTGGGGCTCAAGGAGGCTGAGTGGTTTGGGACGGCTGAAAGCTTCAAGTTCTTAGATATTCGGGCATCGGGCTCTGTGAAGCAGGTCGGGAATTCAGGGTGTTGGCTCGGAGATGGTGCTCAACACCCACTGGTCGCAAGTTTTGTCCAGGCCTGGAACAATGAACTGCTGCGTTTGGTGGCGGTAACGGTTGGCGTTGCTTTGCTATTTCTTCTCGGCGGAAATGGTGAAGCAGCTGATGGTGTGTCCTCTCGCTCCTTCTCCTGCTGTTGCTGCTGCCGATGCCGCGGTCGTGGTGCGGACAGCTGCTGATGCTGGTGCTTATGTTGATGATACGGATAGTGTTTTGGAGCCAGTGTCGTGCCTTCTTCTCTGCTGCTATAGCTGTCGGTTGTTGTTGTTGTTGCCATTGCTGCGCTAGCAGATGCAGCCAAAACAAACCAGTCACTGCTAGCTCTGTTTGGGGCTTCGTGTTTAGGGCTCCGGAAACTATCAAGCCCTGCGGCCACGAAGAGGAGGATCCCCTCGATGCCCTCGATTTTGGCCGACGGGTCCTCTGCAGCTGTTAGAGTTTCAGGTGCAGAGTTCATGGCTCGGGGTTTAGTGGCCTCTGCCTAAATCCCAAATCGCAAACCCCAAATTCAGATCACAACAACCTATTGTTACTGCCGCGAGCCTCCTGAGACAGGGCCAGTGGCTCCAGGAGCCTGGGTACTCAGCGTCTCGATTCCCTACCGGTTTGGGGTCCAGGGCTTTTACAAGAGCAACAACACTACTACATTAGTATCAGTTTCAGCAAAGGGAGTCCGAACTAGGAGCATCGTACGAGTGACAGTCGCCGTACTGCTCTTGATGCAGCTAACTTGAAGTCAAGAGCCTCTTGGCCTGCCTCTGGGGATTCTCCATCGTCCACCGAGCAACGAGGTCTTGGTGCCCATGAGTAAGCCCTTGCACCAGAAGGTCAGAGCATTGCTGTCATCCTGGCACCGCGACTCTCATCTCAGAATCGGGTCTGCCGGAGGTTTAGGCTCTCTGGGCCAAAAACGTCTAATTGAAAATGCAGATCCTCATGCAGACTTGCGGAATCAAGCTTCTAAGGGCGTACATTCGTGGCCAGACATCCTCAAATGAAGCCTTTCATCAACGCTTGTGTGTGCTCCGGGGCTTCCGGCTCGATGACTCAAGTTCTGCATCACAGGCCTCAACCCTCCACCTTGACAAGGAACTACTAGTATCCGCATTCCTTGAAGCAGGGCCCTTGCACGAGCAAGGTGGCTGCGTCTGGCATTCGAGCTTTCTGGTAATCTGCACAACCGGCCTCAATCTATGTGTGTATGTGCGTGTGTGTATTATATATGTATATACACACACACTTTTTGTACACGCATGCTGTATGCATGTATACAGGATATAAAACATATGCATATACATACAGATACACATGTATATACATATGCCTACACATATACGTGTACATGTACCTGAACATGTACTTGCACCTGTACCTGTACCTGTACATGTGCATATACACATACGCATACAGAAATACATAAACCTGCATGCACATACACATACACATCTACATCTACATGTACATCTACATCACATCTACATCACATCTACATACACATATACAGATACATATACACACACGTACACATACATATACATATACATGTACATATATATATATACATATATGTTTACACACATATACGTATGCATGTGTGTATGTATGCGCATGCAAACACATGTACTTCTTATGTATGCCTGTCATGTGCTGCTCAGGTTTTGTAGTGCTTAGTTGCATGGCCTGAACTTACGAATTTCTACAATCTACACTACACCTGTGTCCCTTTCTTGGTGCATCCCCGGAAGAGGCATGAAGAACCCGAAGTTTCCGCGGACTGGGCCACGGCCTCCAGGCTTTTCTCTAGGGCGGTAGGGCAGCCGCTGCAACAAAGGCAGAGTCCGCGGACCACCTGTGCCGCTGTGGCCTGGCAAGTCAGGCTGTTTTCCGTCTACATATCTTTAGCTGTCTTAACTATCCATCTGTCACTTCTATTGCCGCTTCTACCACTACCCCTACCGCTACCCCTACCACTACTGCTACTGCTACCGCTACTACTGTTGATGATAAATGTCCTGCATTACCCACAGTAAGGAATATACCATCATTCCCATAGTTTAGGGTCATTAAGGTAAAGCAGGATTTATATCATCAACCGTACTACTCCTACTACTCCTACTCCTACTCCTACTACTACTACTACTACGACGACGACGACCTACTACTAATATTACAACAACCGCTGCTGCTGCTGCTGCTGCTGCTGCTGCTGCTGCTGCTGCTACCGCTACTCCTGGTCGTAGTCCGACTTCTACTCCTACTCCTACCTCTACCTCTGCCACTACCACTACCACCACTGCTGCTGCTGCTGCTGGTACTGATACTCCTGCTCCTGATCCTACCGCTACCACCACCACCCCCACCACCAGCGACCACGACGACTACGACTACTACTACTGCCACTGCCACTACTACTGCCACTACTACCTACTACTGCCACTGCCACTGCCACTGAACTCCGGAACCTGGCAGACCAGAGTCTAGGACGGCGCTACCTCGGCCGGGGAGTCCCGCAAGTAGTTCAGCTCAGGGTAAGCGACGAGAGCCCTGAATTTCCGCTTGAGTTGTGAGGGCAAGGGTGCTGTTGCTGAGGGTTTCTTGTTGTAGGATTCTACTAGGCTTTACAGAGTTCGAAGTCTCGAACTACAATTGAAGCCCTAACGGTTTCAGATTTGGGGGGGTGAAATTCGCGAGTTGAGGATTTCGGGCCCTGCCGTTTACGGCTCCGACTTGGGAGTTTTGGCTGGTTTCGGGAGTTCCGCTTTTGCCGGAGCCTTCGGGATGCCTGTGCTTAAAGGGTCATGGGACTTAGGAACTAGGGTTATAATTAGGGTAACTATACTTATAATTACTTATAGCCCCAATTAGGGTACTTATAACCCTACTTACTAAGTCCCATGATCCTCCAAGTGGGAAGAGACGTGGTGGGCCTGGAGTTGGCGTTGGGCGGGGTCTTACATACTGTAATATCGGGGTCTGAGTAATCAGAATGGGGTTTTGGGTACATGGTAGTATAGCTACAATAAGAAACCCTAGGAATAATATTGGTAGTCTAGGGCTGTCTTTGGGTTCAGGTTTTGAGCTGGTCGATTTCAGGGCCAGCGGGATCGCTGCTTTTGGATTTGAAGTTTAGGGTTGAGGACTTGAGTAGGAGGAAAGGTTTGGGTGGAGGGTCTACATCCTGAACACTTCACGAACGTCTACCTGGAAGAAAGCACCGAAACGAAGCACTGAAACTTAAAGACGATCCGGTGCGCGACATGGCATCTGATACCACACGAAAAGTAACTCGAAACCCTGAAGCCCCACACCTATCTGAATCCTAAACTAAACCCTCAACCCGACACCTTGAACCCTAAACCCTAAACCCCTATGACCGACGTCTCTGCTGCGGGCCCCGCCTATCGAAGAGCTCCTTCCCGGTCGGGAGCTCCTGACCCGGTAGATTAGGGCTGAGCCTGGTTGCAACAATCATAATAATATTATATAATATGAACATGGATATGAAAATTCATATTTGGATATGTACATGAATATCAATATGTACATGAATAGTAATATCAATATTAAGACCATTATTACTATTGAACTATCAATATTACCAATGAGGAAGAATATCAATATTAATACTGGGGCTGAGCCTCATAGCAACCCTTCAAGGATCCCCTGTAGCAACCCTCCAGCGGTCCCTCGCAAGAACCCTTAAAGGATCCCTCGTAGCAACCCGTCTGGCATCCTTCTTGTACGCTCACAACAACCCAAGAACATCAAGGCGAAGCACGGAAAAGCACTGGTCCCAGACACCACACCAGGAAACCGAAGACTTCACAAACCTCAAGAATCGAGACCGCGGAGCCCAAACCCAGAAAACCCTCCAAAACGCCCAAAGCCCCGTACTGTAACTGCCTAAACCCCGTAACCCCGTAAACCCCCAAACAGCGTTTACCCCTAAGCCCCTAAGCCTCTGAGCCCCTAATATCAACCCGTAAACCCCTAAACCCTGCAGCTTAACGCCAAGATCTGCTCCCGGGCTCCGGATGCCTCGACAGAGAGGACGTCCATCCAGAGCTCGTGGGCCAGCTTCTGCTGTTTCAGGATGGTGTCATCGTTGTAGCCTCTGAGCTTTCAGGGCGTAGGGTGTTTACGGGTGCTTGGGGTGCTTAGGGTTTAGGGTTTTGGGGGTGTTAAGGGTTTAGGGTCTAGGCTTTAGGAGTTTAGGGTTTAAGGTTTAGGGTTTGAGGGCCTAGGCCTAGGGCTTGAGGGGTCTAAGTCTAGGCATCGAAAACGGCAGGGATGCAGCAATGCACGGAGCCCTAGACCCCAAACTCCATAAACCCCCATCCCTCCAAGCACCCCGAATCCCCGAATCCCAAACCCTGAAAGTCCTGGGGCCCCGGGCGCATGGGAACCCAGACCATGGGATCCTCGTTGGCAGGACACCGGTCTTCCAGCACGTAGGTGCGAGACTGCCGCTTGCCTGATGTAGGGATTAAGGCATAAGGGGTGTGTGATCCGATACGGTTTCACGGTGCTTAGAATCAGTGCTTTCGACAACCGTAGCGAAGAGTCTTCCACCTTGGACCCGACAAGCCCTTTCAGGGCATCAGGGGTCCAGGGTTTAGGGCTAGTTGCGAGGTAAGGCCACAGTTACCAGCAAGGGGCATTCCAAGAAGTGGGCTTCGAATTCACTCGGATCCAGCGTGCTCTTCTTCTGGAACTCTGCTATGACGAAGCCGAAGAGGTCCTCCATCGTCATGCTTTCTATGAACAAGCATGAGCTGAATACCAGTCACAAGAACGGACGATAAGACAGCAGAAAATACTAACGAAGAAGTCAACAACTTGTCAAGGAACTTGAGCATTCGTACTAATGATGCTCAGCAGGCCCGCTTCTGCGTTTTGATACCAGCGATGAGCATTGCGATGACTACTGCAGTGTCTATCACCAGTTTAAGGCTGTTGAGGTGAGGGATCCAACAAAGGCCGGACGCAAAAGCGCCCACCCGAACCAGCAGTTGGAAACTGCCAGCCCGGAGTGCCGTGCCCAATCCCAAGGTCCTTCGGCCGCTGCTGCGCCTGGGTATCGAGGTCCGACGGTTGATGATATACATCCTGCATTACTCATAATAGGGAATATATTATAGTTCCCATAGTTTAGTGTCCTCTAGATAATGCAGGATTTATACCATCAACAGGAGGTGTGGGCTTTTGGGGCAGGGGTCCGAAACCATGTGAAGCTTTCCGGCTCTGAGACTTCTTACAAAGGGGACACGGAGGGACCCTTAATGGGGACCCCTACCCTATAATGGGCTATCTAAGGGGTATATACAATAGCTATATTGAGGGTATATACCAAGTGGTCCTTGTTAAGGGGGCTTCAAGCCGGCAATGAAACAACGAGCGCGAGGCTCAAGCCGACACTGCAGACACGACGATCAAGCGAGGGAGCATGATTTGGTGAATACGAATGCACCGAGGCCTAAACACATCGACATAAGTAGTATAGTATGGGGGGGTTCCGGGGCACGAGCAACTGGACTGCTCCTGTCTTCCACGGATTCTTCGCTTCGGCCAGCTGCTTGCTTGGCACCAATACCCTGTAGCAACGAGAACAGGTTCAGTCGCATCCCGTGTCCGCCTAGGTTTCTGCAAGTCAGCCCACGTACCTGCCCCATACGGATAGGTGTTGGAGATGGCAGTTCTGATTACGACTACGATTGGGATTGTGATCATGCAATATCATGCACATGGTTTTTACCAAGACCTCGGTTCTCTGCAATGGCAATGGTCATGTTTAAGCGCGGTTGCCCTGGAGGCCATCGTCGTTGCAAAAAAACGTCGGCAAAACAAGCAGCTGCAGTAATTGATGGCAACAGTAGCAGCACGAAGAGTAGCAGGAGTCGCAGTACTGGAGGATTAGCGCGTAAGGAGCCGGATTGGTGGTGGTGTTGGTGGTCACTCGAGACATGATTGGGACGTTCAGTTGTGACAGTAATTCCTGGCTCTCTGAAGGAGCAATATTCCAAATCGTCTTGCAGACCATCTTCACAAGCATCTTCACCTGCATCTCCTCACTCATCATCATAAGAAAGATCATCAGCGGCCTCGAAGATGGCATCGGTATCCTCCTCCGGTCTTCAGTCTCAGAACCATCAACCTTGAAACTTGCTCCCCCCCCCCTAATTTTCGGAAACTCTAACCCTTGTAGAGCCCTTTAAGTGGTACCCTTATAGAAACCCTTTAAAGGAACCCTAAGGTACCCCTAATTTTTAAGGGCCTCTTTGAACTCAGATTTGTCTCTCAGCTTTCGCTCTGTGCCAAGCCGCAACATCCTTCAGGACGTCTGCAACCGCCTGGGAGCACTCGGGGGTCAGCGGCGGCCAATTCATCGCCTCCAGGGCGGCTGTATGTTTGCATTTGGGT